GACTCGACTCGAAAAAAATGAGTCGAATAGAGTTGGTCTTTAAACTCGACTCGACTCGACTCATTCGGAACTCTAAGAATAACAGAGATAATTGTAAGTGTTTGAACTAATAGAAGAACAGTTAGCATTATATTCAAGTATTTTAACTTATCACAATATTCTAGTATATGTAACAGATTCAGAAAATGTCCATCTTTTCCTTTAGTCACAGGTGGAAAAAATCTGTCATTTTCTGCAAGAAGAATGGCTGCTTCTTCGTGACGTTTAGACAAGCACAAGAAGAATTTCCACATTTCTTAATGTCAAGTGAATATTGACATATTTTGGTATAACTTTTTAACCATTGCCAGGATACTGCTGATTTGCCATTATTTCTTTTTCAGATCTGAGAAATATAATATTATCAAAAGGAGAATCTTTTTGATCAATGTATTATACAGTGACTGGTTTTCTATAGATAGGATCACATTCCTAAAGAGAGCATAAAACCTCATCAGCATAACAAAAATTCTTTATTACAAGTTTTGAATCAACTACCTGACCTTGAAAATTGAGATAGGAGCCATATTTACTAATTGGCAATATTATTCTAGCTAGTTTTAAGAAAGCGTTATCATATTACATTCAATAGGGTTATATGCTGATTAATCCAATACGTGCATTCAAATAGAAAGGTAATTGAGATTGAAGGTATAGAATATTTTATAATATTGAAGAATGTTTTTCATATGGTGAGAATTTTTATCAGGACCTCTATCAACTAAAAGAATCAAAATGGATTTGACTTGACTATTAGCTTTTAATATTTTGTCAAAATGACTGTCTCGAGTTAGCAAATTTAGGTCACTCATATAAGTGGCTGAACTTGTGCTAACCTGATATTGTAAGCGTATAAAGATTGAAAGTTAACTATTACGGTATCAACAAAGCAATTGACCAATAATAATGAAGTTATATGAATAACGCAGTATGATGATCTCTTAATCCAGAATTCTAAAAATACTGAGAATTCTGCGAATTCTAAAAATAAGGAGGATCTATATAATTCTAAAGGTTTTTCAAATACTGATGATAACCCTAATTTTACGAATTAAAAAAAGTCTAAGAATATTTAGTGTTATACTTATTTTTAATATTTTAAATTTTATTGTTATTTTTATTATATTTTATATTT